ATGTATATACAATGAATGTAATATATATTGTTTTTTTTACTGTTTTTCATTTTTCTGTTTTTGACATGGTTTGAAAAATACCCGTTACTCTTTACATTGTGTGTAAATTTCATGATGAATGGACCAAAAGAAACGGCCCAAAATGACTGAAGAAATTCTGGTTCCATTGACTTACATTGAAAGTAAAGCATGTTTTTTCCTTCTTCTGTAAAGTTGTCATTTTGGAGATTTTGTTCCGACAGCATGTACATTTAAGTATCTAGAGGTAATTATAACATCGCTGTCAGAGCTAAACCTTCTATCTCTATTTTTGTTGTTTTTCATTTTTTTACAGCAGTTGAAAATCCCTGTAACAATGTATTACAATGATAAATGGACCAATAGAAAGAGTCCACATTTAAAAAAAAAAAACTCTTGCTCCTTTAACTTACATTTAAAGTTAGGATTTTTCCTTTTCCTATAAAGCTAAAGTTTTGGAGAGTTTTTTTGTGACAGCAACAGCATGTAATTACCAATATGTAAGAATTATGTGCTCTGTATGTTTTATATATGCCTTTGCTGTCTGTATATATATATATATATATATATGCCTTACCTGTAACATTTTTTTGTTTATTTTTATTTTTTACTTATTAGTGGTATTATACCACTTGCAGACACCAACTGCTTTTATATTGTGTGGACATTTCATGACAAATGGACCAGTAAAAATAGTCCATCACTAAATTACTTGGAATTACTCGGAAACTTAATAAGTACCATACAAATTTCTTCATAAAAGTTCTTTACCATTCAATTGAGGAATGTATTTTTGCTTCTCCTGTAAAGGTTTTGTTTTTAAGATACAAAGTTTTGCTCCTCTTTTTGTGGAATTGTCTACGCCTAAGCCTAAACCTAACCCTAAACTTAACCTCAGTAACCAAAAAGAATGGTTTTACCTTTTTACTTTTAAAAAAGGAATCTGTGCTTTAGGTTTTCCTAAAAGACTTCCTCAAACTTATCGCGTATGTTAAGTGTAGCTACGTTTAGGGGAGGGAAATCTAACCTGTAAGGGATCATTTTAAATAAATACACTTTTTAAAGAAATACTTTTAAAGTGTCCTGAAACCAGGGACACATCACGGTGCGATCGTTTATACAGCCTGTCGAGCAGAATTTAAGCCGATTCTCAGAGATGCAGAGTCTGATCTCAAACAGACGTGTTTCAGTGCTCGCCGACTGTTCGATACAGACGTGTTTTTGTTTGCCGTCAGTTCGAGGGCCTCCATTCACGTCTGTTCTCACACGCTGTTATCTTTTCTTCAGTCACCGCATGTCTGTGTGCATGTTTGTATATGAGAGAGATGAGTTCTCTCACGGTGCTGTCCTTTCTTAAGCCACGGTTGGTGCCAAGGCCTTAAGATTACTGCTCCCGTGTGTGTGTGTGTGTGTGTGTGTGTGTGTGTGAGTGAGTGAGTGAGTGAGTGATGAGAAACTGTTGCTTCTCTGCTTTTGGCTGCCAAGTCTCAGCTTAGATGCAGCTTGGGCAAAGGTGGGGGGGTTTGAGAGGGAGGGGCGGATGGGTGTAGGGGGGTCTAAGACTTGGGAGATGGAGAACTGTAGGGGGATTCACTTACTTACTCTCACTCACCGCTAGGAATGTCAAAAGTGTGTGTACTTTGGTGCCAAGTCAGTACCAGCTTTTAAAAATGTAAGAGTTCGGTATTTCTTTAGTAATGGAGTAAATTGGAACACAATCCTATCAAAATAATCACAAGTAAAAAAACTTGGCACAAACACCAAAACAAAAGATGGTGACCGGTACTGCTGCTGCCACAGCCGGTGTGCTTCTAAAGGAAAAGACATTCTTCCTTAATTTTACTATACGGAGCCCCTAAGGGGCCGGGGTAACATTGCGCTCCCTCGCAAATGTTTTGCATTTCCTCGCAAAACAAAATGCTTGTCAGACAGTAACCAAACGTAGGACCAGAGGTGCCCAGCGACATTGCCTACATTAGAGCTGTGTTTTTAGCATAGTTAACGTTAAAAGCTGTTTTCCCAGTTTGGCCAGTCTGAGCTGAGTTTATTCAGCTGTTGTTCTCTGCAGTCTCTGTAAATGTAGCTTTTACTGTATGAGGAAACACGACCTCAGTTTCAGTTTGAGTCACCAACAGCAGAATCATGTTTGATTTTTAGAAGCGACACTGTGTCTTTATATTTCAATCCAAGATCAACGTAAAACTCAATGAGCTGCTTCATCTCTGAGCTTAAGCAAAACACAGCTTTTTCAAGCAAATGCAAACCACTTGCATCGTTATGCAAAACATTTGCGAGGGAGCGCAAAACATTTGCGGGAGAATGCATAATTTTTTGCGAGGGAATGTGTTTTTAGCAAGGGAATGCAACTTTTTCTTGTTTTTAACCACGGCCTCTTAGGGGCGCCGTACATTCATATAAACAAAACGTGGGGGAATAAAATCAGAGTACTGATGTCTTATTTAAAGTTGGAGGTTGACAGGCACTGCATTTCAAACATAACTCAGCATCAATCTCTCTTTACACAGAAAGGCAGGATGATCAGAGTCGAAGGTCTCAGTTCATCCCGCTTACTCAGGGATATCAATCCCATTTCATCCATTTTTTTCCCCTCTCTCTTTTACGAGACGTATGGAGAAAGTCAGCATTTCCTTTAAACGAATATAAGTAACAATTTCAACAAAAAAGTCCACAGTTGGGGGGTTTCTTCTGAGCCTACACTTAGTAATAGCTTCCAAGATCTCAGAAATAAGTCTCCCCATATTAATCCAAAAGGATTGGATTTTTGGGCAGCACCATACTACATGCGCATGGTCTACGTCCATTGCCCCTCAATCCCTCCAGCAGGGAAAATGGGCCCCGGTTAACCTTGATTTCAGTTTGGACGTCATAAAAAATCTGATCAGCAAATCTCAGCAAACTAAAAACAAGTGCTAGTTGGAACTGAGTTTAGACGACAACAGCAACCAAAACAGCGAAATGATGGTGAATTTACGAAGCTGAAGTTGATTTTTTATTCACCAGCTTCTAATTCAGATGTTCCTAAAACAATCTGGTGAATAACCAGAATAACTAAAGTTGAAAGTTACTCACCAGTTTTGCATCCACCTTAAATGGTGCAGCAGTTTCGTTCTGGTGCCTAACTGCTGCACCATTTAAGGTGGAACGGAAAATTTGATTAAGAAGCTGGTGAATAACTTTAAGTGAACTTTAGTCAATTTTGCACGTTTTACCTGCAGAAGCTGTTAAATTTGGTAAAATAGAGAGAGCTGGGTTGCTTTTGTTTTGCTACCATGAGGAAAATGGTCAGTTCACCTGGTTCTCCAGTAAGAGCGCTGAGTGGGGGCTTATTGATGCTTCACTTGTTTCCAGCTTATGGAGGCAAACTTCAAGTCTTATGCTTCACTCGACTTCCTAAATAAAATAAGCTGAGCGTAAACACAGTAACGGACGTCTGACGACGCTGCTGTAGATCAAATTTACAGCAGGAAACGAATCCATTCATATGAAAAGTAACCGACTGTGTCTTGTCTGCAGTCAGACTCTCCACGTTTCTTTCACTTTGGGTCTCTATTCTGAGTTATGAGGCTCAAAGTCCGTCACTGTTCAAGTCAAAGTTGAGTTGCAAGTCTTTCTCAGTTTTGTGGAGTCGAGTCTTTTGTCATCAGTTTTGTGATTCAAGTCAGACTCGAGTCCAAGTCATATGACTCATGTCCTCACCTCTGCAAAACTCGAACAGCCTATCAGCATAAAGCTCCTTTTTTTTCAGAGTTTCAGTTTTTGCATTTGTTAGGAAACGTTAATGTAAAGGACACATAATGTCATATAGTCACTGGTCAGCTGGCCTTGTTTGATCTGTTTCGTGATATGTTGTTTTAAGGCACAGTGACACAAAGCTGGTTGATTTAAAGGTGCTGCATAAGTAAAGTTTACTGAATTAGTTCAACACAGCATAATTTCCTCTCATTCTCTCCTTCACTCTGTCCCTCAGGTTTCCAGTGCAGCCTGAGATAACCCGCGGTGAGGTCCGGCGCTTATGGTCATCACTACTCACCAGGCAGGATGGCACGGTAGAATTTGAGCACTTTGTCCGCCATTTTGGCCCCTCCCCCACTTCCCGTCGTTACCCCAATGCCAAGCGCTGCCCACCGAAACGTGGAGACAATGACCTCATGCGCCTCTCCAACAAGCTCAGCTATGTGTCTGATATCCTGGTGGATGCTCTCAGGGCCAAGGTGAGGACGTTCACTCCCAAAATCCCAACACATGAACATAAAAAGTGCGATCATAAATAATAAAAAACAGTAAATGAAATATTAATCCTGAGGATGGCTGAGAGATTTTCTTGAAAGTGCAGATTCTAAACTTAGATACCACATTTCTGTTTGTAAGTAGGAAAAGTTGTAAGTTTTTTTGTTTTTGACATTTTAATTGTTTTGAAAAAAACATCAGAAGTGCAGACTCAAACCTGTTGATATGGAATGTAAACTGGACAGAAATGTAATTACATTTAAATAGTATAGCGAAACTACAGTAATAACTCCAGGCTTTTAAAGGTCAAGTCTTCAGATTTTTTCTTCATATTCTCTACTTGGGTCCAGTAACTTATAATGCATTCTCTTAGTGCTGGGCGATATGGCCTCAAATCAGTATCAGGATTAATTGAATGTTTTACCTCGATTACAATTAATGAACGATTATTTTGTTTTTTTTGTTTGTTTTTTTGCCCTCATAGTTCACTGACAAGGTCTGTACAGTAAATGTCCTCTGCATATCTTAATGTAAATCGGCTCAACAGCCAGATTGGAATTCACGCAGCTTTCACGTCAGTCCAGCTTGACATTCGTGATGATTTTGCTCTGCTGAGACCAAATGTTTACATTTAGGCTGATATTTCTGTACAAAAATTACAAGAGACTCATCCAAACCCCTCCAAGTTTGAAGAGATTTTGAATGGAACGGTACAGAAGCTCTGTTCTTTTGCTCATGTGGCTCAGTTTAGGAGCTGATCTGTTCAGACTGATGTCTCATACGGATCACATTTAAAGATATTGTGAAAAGCCAAACATCGTATTTGGTGAGAAAAATGTTGCAGACTGGACATGGCGGAGTCGCGTGACTATAGGCGTGGTAGGAAGTTTTTAAGGGGACAGTACATGAGCACACAGAGTGGAGAAAGGATTAACAGAATAAAAAAAAAATGTAAATGTTGAATGTCGGTTTCGATTACTTTTCAATTATTTGCCCAGCCCTACATTCTCTTCCTCTCTCTCTCTCTCTCTCTCTCTCTCTGAAGGTGGAACTCTCAGTAGCAGAGCTGTGGGCTGAATTCTCCAGTATGGACGTATCTGGTACCGGTTTTGTGAGTCGTGAAGAGTTTAAAGAAGTCTTAATGAGTCTCTGTGTACATCTCAGCCCGTATGAATGTGAGGTACTGGCCAACAAGTTCGACATGAACCATGATGGCAGGTGATATATGCAAATACATGCGCAGTAATAAACAACACAATGGACCACACAGCACATACATTTTACAAAATTTTAGAATAATTCAGTCCTTAAGATGTAAACAGGGATTCAGAGTGGTTTGGTGTAAAATGGTTCAGATATCTTTGCAGTAGTGGTGATAGGAACCAGGGGTCGCCATGACTACAACACAAATATAGACATTTTATTTACAATCCAAACCCACCACATGGTTTTGGGGTAACCATATGTCTTCTAGGTTTTTATATATAATGTTAATGATAGTAAAATATTCATAAATCTGAAAAAACAAGTTTTCTTTGGGGACAGTTTTGCCTCACAGCGCCCTACATGTACCCCAACATGAATTTTACATTTTAAGCCAAAACTTTATCAGAAAACTATCGTAAAAGATTTGACATCAAACAGTGCATTCATACCATTTCTTGTAATAACTGTCTGTGAGGGAGCTTTTACAGGTGGACATCTGCTACCAGTGTGAACAGTTTACTCTGCAAGTTCTCTAGAAGGGAGAATTTCACACCAAACCACTTTGAATTACTGTGTTTACATCTCACCAGTGAAGTTCTCCTTTAAGGAAAGGACCAGTTTTTTATCAGACCTTTACCTTAATATATGTTGTAATTGCACCTATTATTGGGCTTTGCTTCTGAAATGTTTACATTAGTTGTCAGAACTAATGACTCACAGTTACAGTAATATCTTTATCTCAGTTTATTTAATAAGTGGCCTAAATGTATAGACTAATAAAAATTCATAGCAATCTTTTCTAATGGTTTTATCTGTTCATGTCTAGAGTGTCTTACAGGGAGTTCCTTAGGCCGTTTGCTTCCCAAGAACAGGCGTGGAGGAGTGGTTTCAACATGGCTGCTGCTCTGCAGTCACACAGAGAGAGTGGTGATTTGCCTAGGAATATGGAAAATGTTTCTATGGAAACCCTGAGTACCAAGATCAGGAAGAAGGTAAAACATACTGCAGGTCTTCACTAAACACTCAGTTCAAAGATTGTAGTCTTGGATTTGGTCCCATTTGTTCTTATGTGTTTCATGTTTTTGCATGTTTGTGTGTCCCAGCTCAACAGAAAGAAGAGGGCTGTCCGTAAGGCCTGCTTGCGATTGGATGTCTCCAGTTCTGGTCACCTTTCTGCAGCAGAGCTGGCCACAGTCCTGCAGCTGTGTGGAGTGTGTGACACTCCAGAAGAGCTCGGGAGTGTGTTCTCAGTACTTACCACAGACCCGACAGGACGTCTGGACTACCGTCCACTGCTTCTCATGACGGCCCAGAATGACCAGCAGCACCTCCTACACCAGGCCAGCCACAGAAGCATGTAGAGTTTTGAGGCATTATTCAAAACCTCTTTATGTCCTTAAATAGCCAGAAACCACCAGCTTCATTCGTCACTCCTATAACTTAACAACTTTGTTTGCATTGCTTTCCTTTTTGCTTTTTACTGAATTATTACTGAATAATAAGACTTAAGATAAATTAAAGGGGTTAAGCGACAAACTAATTTGCTCTGTGTTGAAGAGTTTATATACACGCACTGAGCACTTTATTAGCTACAGCTGCCATGGATATACATTTATTGCCCATTTTATGAGGTCCACTTATGTAGGTGCACTTTGTTGTTAACTACAGACTGTAGTCCATCTGTTTCTTTGCACACTTTAGCCCGCTTTCACTCTGTACCTCAGGACCCCCATGGACCCTCACAGAGCAGGTACTATTTGGGTGGTGGGTCATTCTCAGCATTGCAGTAACACTGACGTGGTGGTGATGTGTTAGTGTGTGTTGTGCTGGTACGAGTGGATCAGACACAGCAGTGCTGCTGGAGTTTTTAAACACTGTGTCCACTCACTGTCCACTCTATTAGACACTCCTACCTTGTCGGTCCACCTTGTAGATGTAAAGTCAGAGACAATAGCTCATCTGCTGCTGCACAGTTTGTGTTGGTCATCCTCTAGTCCTTCATCAGTGGTCACAGGACGCTGTTGGCTGGATGTTTTTGGTTCTCAGTCCAGCAGCAACACTGAGGTGTTTAAAACTCCAGCTGTGTCTGATCCACTCAGACCAGCGCAACACGCACCATCACAGTGTCACTGCAGTGCTGAGAATGATCCACCACCCAAATAATACCTGCTCTGTGGGGGTCCTGTGGGAGTGGCCACTGAAGAACAGGGTGCAGAGAAACAGATGGACTACAGTCTGTAATTGTAGAACTGTAAGTGTACCTGTATGCTAAGTGGAGCTGATAAATTGGGCAGTAAACATAGATACAAGGTAAGTGTACCTAATAAAATACTCACTGAGTGTATTTACATTCACAAACAGAGGTATGTGTGCGTCCAGCTTATATTCTTACCAAAGAGTAATACACCTTACTCAGTGAAATGAAAGTGACCCAAATGGATCCCTGTTCACAGTTTAGGGCTCCTCTTATGTAGGCCGGCCACTTTTCTTTTAGTATCCATATCATAAAATGGAATTCCCTGGTGATTTTCAGGGCACTACAATTTCCAAGCAATGCACTCGTATTTGCAGGTGAACACTGTAGATCACTACATCAGCTGAATGTACACCAAAGTGCATTGTGAGCCTCTCGTTACTATACAAAAGACAGAGGAACGTTAGCTGATATTAATGATGGCGCTGAGCCACTGACTGCGAAACTTAATAGACTCTCTTGAATGTGATGCGTTCACTGTCTGCTGTTGATCAAATAGCAAATACACAGAGAGGTAACTGCAATCATGGACCAGAGATTAAATTTGTAGCTTAGTGAAGTTTAATACTTTTTTACTGCTCTTCATACCTGCACGTATTAAAAGGTTACTCCCACGTCTACAGTTACGAATCAGAGGAATATGAACTTCAGCCTTGCTCAAGCAGCTAATGTTGGTGTGTTTGTTTGACTGGCGAATGCTGATACAGGCTGATGATTTGAAAGTGTCCCCAGTTTATTTATTGATTTGTACCACTACTAGTAAACTAAATAGTTTCCCCAATAAGGCACAATCAAATTCGGTCACAGTCTTGGTCATTTGTTTATTTTTAGATGAACTGTTTCATGTGCCGTTTCTTAAAAATGACCACGTTTGTCAGCTTGTAATCATACAGGTATTCGATTTTCAGTAATATTTGAGTAAAGTAGATATCTTCTGAACTAAATACTAAAAGTATAACAAAGTACAATGACTGTATTTTTCACCCCTGTTACAAAGCATTTACGAACAACCACCGACTAATGGCCAATGGGTACACAAACGTATATATAGTACACAAAACTATAACATAATTTGTCAACACTTCCCGAAAACATGTCATTTTCTTGTTCTGTTGAACAAAGTTGTTTTTTCCTCTTTAAACTTTGTTTCATAGCAGTTACTTATTGACAAGCCAACACTGCAATCAACACAACAGCATGTTAAACCTACTTCCATCGTCATATCATAATTCACCACTGATTGTTTTCTGATGCAGATAGCAGTCTGACTGGATAAAGTGGAACCGATTTTTTAAAATTTGTAAAATGTTAACAGATATTCAGGGTGGCCTGACTTTCTTTAACAGTGTTGGTGAGAGAAACCAGGTGTTGCTGTGTGAACAACACAAGTATGGCCACTTTATTTACTACCCAAATGACCAGTGAACCCACACAGGTTTTTTATGTGTAATGTTGATAATGCTAAATAAAGGTGAATCTGAAAAAAAAAAATCTTTGGGACTATTTTGCCTTACAAGCCAGATGCAAGCCAGTGTACAACCCCATTTCCAAAAAAGTTGGGACGCTGTGCAGAGTGTAAATAAAAACGTGCATTAGTGCACATGGCATGGGTGACGTGCACATCTGTGAAGGCACCATTAATGCTGAACGATATATACATGTTTTGGCAACATATGCTGCCATCCAGACGACGTCTTTTTCAGGGAAGGCCTTGATTATTTCAGCAAGATGATGCCAAACCACATTCTGCATGTATTACAACAGAATGGCTCCATGTTTAAAGAGTCCGGGTGCTAAACTGACCTGGCTGCTGTCCAGACCTGTCACCCACTGATAATATTTGGCACATTATAAAGTGAAAAACACAACAAAGGAGACCCTGAACTGATGAGCAGCTGAAATCCTGTATCAAAGAACAATGGAAAACATTTCACTTTCAACACTACAGCAGTGTCTCCTCAGTTCCTAAACACTTACAGAGTGTTGTTAAAGAAGAGGTGATGAAACACAGTGGTAAACAGGCCCCCGTCACAACTTTTTTAGAATGTGTTTTTGGCATCAAATTGAAAATGGGCATATATTTTTCAAAAAACAATACAATTTCTCAGTTTCAACATTTGATATGTTGTCTTTGTACTATTTTCAATCAAATATAGGGTTTACATGATTTGCACATCATTGCATTTTGTTTTTGTTTACATTTTACACAGCATCCCAACTTTTCTGGAAACAGGGTTGTATTAAATAACAAGGATTGAAAGCCAGTAAAAGCCACCTAATGAAAGATTTGTATTATACCTCTTGAGGGTTACTAGCATTAATATATTAGTTGGTCTTTTGTCTTTGCTGGATCCTTTAATAGGATACAGCCATATTAACAGACATTTTGGGGTTAGTAGATTAGTGCTTGTGGCCAAAATCAATCCGATTAAATCAGTTTGACTTTATTTGTATGATTTCCCACAGGGTATCATCACCAATATACTTTGAATGCCATAGATCGCACAGACCAAGACAGGGGACACTGTAGCAAGGAGCATGAAAAAGCTATGAGGTGAACTCTTTCCTGGACAGGTTAGTGAGACAATCCAAACCAGCAGCTTAGGTAACTAATAGCAGAGTAGATCCAGTACTAGTACCTAGTAACAAGTTAGTAGTTATATCAAGACTGTTTACTTGAAAACATCTTGATTCAGTTGTCATGCTGAGGTCTTGATAAAACCAAGGAGAAAGAAGTGTTCCAGTCAGTAATGGACAGTCAACTCCATAATTCTTGGCACCCATGCTAAAGATGGGTAAAAATGTAATGAAAAAGTGCCTGTGGTTAATTGTCTCAATCTCATAACATGAGAAAAATCAAACCTTTTGCTAAAATATTTTTAAACTTTTAAAGACTTTTTTTTTAACACAACCACATGTATTGCCACCCCTAGAATTCTTATGAACAAAATATAATAGAAGCCTTTTCCACATTTGCAGTCCACAGTTAACAGTTCAGGAGATCATGCATGATTTCGTGTTTCACCGCACTCTTAAAAATGATGGTTCTTTAGAAACATGAGTTCTATATAGAACCATTTCTTGCTTAAATGGTTCTTTGCATGGTGAAATGGTTCTTCAGATTGATTTAGAATGTGCTGTGAATGGTTCTCTATTGAACCTTTTTGAAAATAGTTCGAAAAATGGTTCTGCTATCGTTACGATTTCAAGCTTGCATACAATAGAAGAACATAGAACCATATACAACACATTCTCCATCAATCTGAAGAATCATTTCACCATGTAAAGAACCATTTAAGCATGAATCCTCAGTAGAACTTGTTGTTCTAAATAGAACCGTTCTTTTTTACTAATTCTCGATGAACCTTTTTTAAGAGTGTACTGTATTAACAGTTCTGTTCAGCACGTTCTGACAGGTCATTTGTATGAATGGACTCGATTTGCATGGTAGGTACTTTTCCCCCATTTGTGAGTTGTTTTATTGACTTTAGTGGAATTTGTCCCTGAAACGAAACATGAAATGGAACTTAACCCAATCCATGAATTTGAAAAGCAGCCATTTTTTGGTACCCAGACTCAGACAGCAGATGGTTGCTGGTAAACCTTCCTGAGAAGAACTTCATGTGCGGTCACTTTCATCTGTAGGCCGTATCAAACCGTGCAGAGCTCTACCGAAGTTTCCTCAGAGTTCGCATCTCTTCTCTGAAGATGGCTGCTTCTTCCTTGGCTTCTCTCTGTAGCAATTTCAAGACATTTTACATGAGAAAGGGCCGACTCCCCGGGCGCGTTTAGCAGGGCTCCATTAGTTATTATTCATAGAGCCTAGTGAAGCTAAAACGCTCTAATTTCTCTCAGCTTTTTTCCCCTCCGCTTGGCTCACTGTTCTCTGCTGGGATTTAAACCAATATTGGCTTGTTGGTCTTCTTTCACAGCGCCCGCCTTTCATGGCATTATGGGGTTTTTTTCCATCTGCGTGCCCTCTTTGTCGACCCCCCCCACTCCTTGCTTTCTGCCGTTTGACAGACTCCCTGGCAGGCGGCCTCATGTTATCGGTCCAGTCGTCCGTTCATCGATCCATTTACTGCTTCTGTTGACGAACATCTGTGC